TCACTGAGGTAAGTACAAATCGTGAAACATAAGACAGGCAATAGCTAATGATGTAAACCAGTGTAATGCAAGCACAATATGAACAGTTCTCACGTTTATAGTCTAATGTAATGGAGTTTGTCGACTAAAGTTTGGGGGATGGGTTGTGTTAACTTTAGTCCCATGTAGCTAGCAATCGAAGTAGCCTATGGGAGTAGGGCTATGTATGGTCAGATTGTACTTCAGGAAAAGTAGCTGCCAGTGTCCCATCATCCCAACAAAACAAAAATGAATGGCATTAAAGTATGGCACAGTATACAACAAACATTATTATGCATGTAAACAATAGTTACTAACTAAAGAAGATTTTGTTTTGTGTCTGTCTCAGGTGGTTATCTATTACCCCTCAAGGCCAAAGGGTGTCAGGATAGTATGTCAAGACGACACAGCAGGCATGGTGGAAGCCATCGCAAAGAAGAACTGGAGCGTGGCTGCCAATCATCTAACCAGACACAAAGAACTCTTTGGACCACTCAGTGAAAACATCCTGCAAATCATAGAGGATGAGTGCAAGAATATCTGCAATCCCTTCAAAGATTCCATGCTGTCCAAGTCATCAGCAGCAGATTTGAAGGCATTTTCATTTGAAAATTTGCAAGCAGATCTCCAGCGTTTGTCACCATTTTTGTTTTCATTTTTTTTACGTATCACTAAACAGTCTGCTAATATCGCTTGTGCTGCAGCAGCTATAGCTTTAAAAGGCAGAGAACCCCGCTTGTCAGCCTTCTCATATTATGTGAATAGTGTCCTACAATATGCTGGGGTGAAGAAGGCAGCTTTTAAAAGACTTAGCAAATTGGGCATAACAACTTACTACACTAGTGCTGTTAGAAAGCAAAAGGAACTGGCAAGTACATGCGGAGAGGATTTTCAGCTACTGAAAGTAGCCAATGAAATATTCCTCAAGGAACATGAAGACACCAGCACAGCCAATGGTGGATCTGTTCCAGGAAGGGAAAACCAAGGTACCAAAGGAGCTACCCGAACAAGCACACTCGATGACTCTGTGGGAGACCTGGATGAAGCCATGCATAGCATGAAGCCGTTTGTCTTGTCAGGTAAGAAAGGCCAGTTTTTAACAATGTAAAATGTGTTTATGCATTCAGCTGCTTAAGATCTTTTTTTTTATGTTGTATAATAATAATTGTAAAAATATGAATCGCTTTCATTTACAGCACCTTTGTAAGTACCCAAGGTCACTTACAATCTATGTTTCATTTCTGTTAAGGCTTGATGATTGATGTTTTTTTTTCTTTATCGTTTGTTTCTTACAGATGAACCTAGACAAAGCACTCAAGAGAACACCACTGTCACACAGCAGGCTATTGGTGTCACCACTACTCCTTTACAGATGGAGCAGCAGCCGGGTTCTGACAATGTTACAGCTGTGTTAGCCTTCAGTACAATAACAGACACTGAAATGGCAGATCTGGGCGTAGCAATAGTGCCTGAAGAAGCACCAACAGAGCCAACTCTCCCATGCACATATTCAATTATATTTGACAATCTGGACTTCTTCAGCCACACACACCACCAGTCTATCAACCGGGCAAACCAATCAATTCACTGGATCCACCACATAGCTGTGGAAGACAGAGTCCCTTCAAACCATCTCAGCAGACACAAGCCTACTCAACCACTCACAGATTACAACATTGGGAAATCCCTCCCTAGTCTTGACTCCCAAGGCCAAATGCGTTGCGATTATGTTGTCCTGGGAAGCCGAATACTAACCAAGTACCTAAACGCCTTCAAGCCGCTATCAGCAATCGTGGTTCATCACATCCCTCACCAGTATTCTGCAGAAATGTCCGAGCATTCAACCCACGTAAGTATTAAATGAACTACACTTCATTCGGAGTTGTGGCATTCTGTAGACTTTTTGACTTAAAGAAGCATATAACCTGGTAGTTAATTGGTATATGCTATCACTCCAAACTTTAATGCAATTTCAAATTATGTGTCCCTTCCTCATAGCACCCCCTTGGACTTCTGTTCAAAGATGAGAACCAGTCTACAGAGTTGGCTAATGTTCTACAGCATCTCCAGAATGAGTAAGTAGGCTGGGGTGGCCAAAACTGAATTACATGTTCAGCTTGGGAAGGGTATTGATTTAATAAAGCTTTGACATCTATTTGATATGTCATGTAGGTATGTTCCAAAGGGCCCAGATGGACCGCAGAGCATTTTAGTCGGTGGTGACAGACTAACGGAGGGAAATAGCCGCGGCATACAGTGGGCCTTTGCCGAAGGAGAAAATGTGGACGACAGGCTGGAAGGCCTTGTCTTTAAGTTCGAAGATTGGCACGCAATTAGAAACCTTTTTGAGGTGAGTGACCTTATCAGGACAGGACTGTAAATACTTAAAGGACACCTGAACCCTAAAATAACAACAGGCACATAACATCAGCATCCGCCCCTACACGTCACCACACCACTTTGTTTGTTCACTTTAAGCACAATTTGTACAATTCTCTCACCATGTGTGCTTATGTTGCCAGTGGTTTAGGGATGAATGGCTGTTTGTTCAATTATTTTGCCCCATGAAAAGACAGATCCAATTAAGTACAAAAACGTTGGCGTTGTACTTCTGTTAGATACTGTAAATGTATTCATTTATCTGAGTTTTTAGATCATGTCAATTTTTTTTCTCCTTCCTCGCCAAATAGCTTTGTTGACTACTATAAAAATGAATTGCATTTTAGATCTATCATCGGGTCTTTTACAAAGAGGGTTCGGCAAGGGATCATGGGACACTCCTCGCCAATATGAATAAGTTGAGGTATGCTTACCTATCATAGAAGTGCTATTTTTGTGCATTGTCTTTGGCATTCTTAGTTGTTGTCAGTTTAATATCTACATGCTTTAATATTTGTATTCTGAATAAAATTGCATTGTTCACTGTTTTCAGGTTTTTCTCTTTCACCGATGAACCCCAGCCACCATGAATTACGGCTTGGTACTTAATCACGACTCTTTCTGCTCTGTCCTGTTGTCCAGCCACCATGAATTACGGCTCGGTACTTTATCACTCATTCAATTCTGTCTGTATGTCATGTAACTGAGGAGGGTGTGTGCGTGTCACTCATTCAATTCTGTCTGCATGTCTGTTATGTAACTCAGGAGGGTGTGTGCGTGCGTGTGTGTGTGTCACTCATTAAATTCTCTCTGTATGTCTTATGTAGCTCAGGAGGGTGTGTGTGTGTGTGTGTGTGTGTGTGTGCGCGTGCGTGTGAGCATGCGTGAGGTTGTCACTCATTCAATTCTGTCTGTATGTCTGTTATGTAGCTCAGGAGGGTGGGTGTGTGCGTGTGGTCATCTGGTGATTCAGGTTAGGAATGTAGTCCAACCACCATGAATTAACAGTTTGGAACTTCAACATCACGACTTACTCTGCTCCATTACATACTATGACCATCATCAATAACAAGTCATCTTCTTACAGATGCAGCAATGCAAAACAAGGTCCACATACTGCATTCAATGCATACAAGGACTTTGTGCAGAAGGAGACTGCAGCTCTCTTTTTGGCTGCGGCAATGGTGCACTTTGGACTACAGAATGTGTCAGGTATAACACTTCAAACAAACTCCCAATCTCAGGGCAGACACCATCAACAAGGCCACTGGGCTGGTTAAAACATTTAGAAGAACGGTCCAATTGTATTGTTTTGTATTCTTATTTTCTACATGTAACATCACAGCTAACTATACATGCATCTCACATTATCTGTCTTTTTAATGTCTCAACAGATGTCCCAGACGGATTCATCCCAGACCATATCTTAACTGGTCCACAAGAGGACAAAAGGACCTGGCTGCATGGTGTAGTCTCCCAAATTGTAGACAAATTTGTCATGTTTGAGGACATTTCGGACATTGCCAGCGGTGTTACAGATACAGCCAGTGACCTGCCCCAACAGGGAGAGAAGCTCTCTTGCCGCGCCACAGGTTGCAAACGTTTATATAAGTACAGAAAGGCTAGGGAAAACCATGAGAGAAGAGAGCATGGGTTGACAGTATCTCCCAAGGCAGTTCCAGATACAGACAGGCAAAGTTCAGTGTTAGACCACAAAAAGCAACACACAGAGGCTAGACTGGGTTTTGGCTTTTTCTTGGCTGATCTGCAGGATGCAGTTAAGGAGGGAGACGGAGACAGGCTGATGCGATTGTATACTGTAGCGTTGATGTTCTACAAGGCCTATGGGCATACACAGTATGCGTACAGTACACTACTTCTAACCTTGCAGGTCAATTACACACTTTCCCCTCGCTTAGCACACAGTCTGGTGTGGAATAGGTTGTGGAATGGGAGGGGAGGAATGGGAAGGAACATTTCACTAGATCTACATCTAGAACACCTTAACAATTTTCTTAAGTCCTTTTTAAAACGCAGTGGTCCAAACATGACCGAACAAACAGCAGACAGGGTCAGCAAGTCAATTGGGGTCCTGAAAATTTTGATGGAGACCACAGACAGAGAACTACAGGTCTTAAAGTCCTCTGGTATGCATCATGCTGCTCGTCAGACTGAGGACATTCTAGTTCTGGTGGAGGCTTTAAGAGAGGCTGAGCTGTTCAAGGATCACCCAGGCAGACAGTTCTCAGCATTCCCCCAATTTAGCAGAGATCTTTTGGCAAAACTCAAAAGCACTAACCTGAGTGGATGGGTGAAGTCCAAATTAAAGGAGTGGCAAGATCACCCTGTTTAAAAAAGGTTTTGAATGACCCCATATAATTGTAAATATTGTAAACAAAAGTATTTGTGTTTTTCTATATATTTGATTTGTAACAATTTTTTTTTTTTAATTTTCAAATTTGTAATATGTAAATATTAAAACAGTAAATTCTGTCAACATTATTTCTAGCGTCATTATTTCAAAGATGGCATTCTAAGGTGAAAAAATAACCCAGGTTTTCAGCAAAATATTTTTTTATTTGCATTTTTCACTGTTACTTGTATACAAAATTATTTACATTGTTTGCAGTGACAGTCATTCAAGGACGTTAGTACAATAGCATCTACTAGCCTGCTGCTGAGGGGTGCTAGTTTGACTCTGAACCGCTACTGTGTTGTGTTTCGATTTCAAAGTCCTCATCTTGCTCATCAAAATAACCTGTGAAATCAATGTCAGGCTCTGTGAAGCTCTCTTCAGGTAGAGTAGGCTCTGTGTATTCGAAATCGCCGAAAACCTCACTGATCACTAGGAGAATTTCGCTTGCATGCCGTGCTCTAAATACTGGAAGGTGGTTTGTAATATAAGCCAAGTCAAATATATAGGGACTGTGCTCGACTGCTGCTTCGATCAGTTCAGTGCCAAACCCAGTACAGACAGTCTTGTTAGTGATGAGTGGCATGTCTGGGACTAAAGTGCGCCTGTACTGCTGTAAGCAGGCCCGGATCACAGTCTTGTCTTCCTCAGTCACCTCTCTAGATCTAAGTGGAGTAGTACACACATTGGGTTCTACAGATTAATGTTTTGGAGTAGGCTCTACACAAACACCAGATGAACATGAACACATCGAGTGGCAGTAGGTGCAACAGAGATGACCCAGCTCCAAGCTTGTGGTGTGCTCTTCAAAGTGACTAAAGAGGGCTTTTCTAAAACAGCCCTGTGTCCCTGCATGAATCAATGCTTTCACTGTTTTATCAACCCTTGGTGATGCTTGTATATCATACAAAACTGCATGTGAAGGTAAAGAGTTTCTCCCAGCCCGCCCAACCTGTTGCACTATGTCTTCCACATCCTCTGGTGCCCCGTACATGACAACATGTGAGATATTAGGAAAATTGAGGCCCATCCCCAGTGCAGTTGTAGCAACAACAACCCTGCAGCTACCCTCACCCGTAAAGGATGCCAGCACTCTCTGTTTGTACTGTGGCAGTGTCTTGCTGTGGAACATTCCGATCAGCATGTTTTCAGCCTTATGCTCTGGATCTCTGTTTACCCATGCATCTTCTTCAAGTTTGGCTTTGAGACGGCAGAACACTCTTCCAACTGCCTTGAGTGATCTACAGTAAATAATGATAGGCAACATCAACAGTCTCTTCTCTCTGACCTCCGTCACCACCCAATCCATGCAGTCCAGGTCATGACTAGGAACATGCTTCAGCCCAAGCCTGATGTTGCTTCTGTTTGGGCTAACAGTAACTTGAGTTGCCTTCACCATGTTCAGCAGCGTGGTCACCCGGCCTCTGTTGACAATATCAGCAGATGCTGTCAAAGCCATGACAGGCGTGCCTGAAAGACAACACATGCATAATATGAAAAGGGGGGACCACAATAACCTAGGCAGCCACACTGCTTGGCCCCTAATAACAATCTTTTTACAGGATTAACTCACCTTCTTTAACAATTGATCTGAGTTCTCCCAGGCGGGCAAAGCTCTCTCTGAAGGCTAGGGAAAATTAAGACTCCAAGTAGCTTAGAGACATAGATACATCACACATATACATACAACAAGCAGGATTGCAAAAAGAAAGTCTAGGAATACAATCAACAAATAAGAATAAAGATACTATACACTAGACAATAAGGAAGATACTAAGAGAAAGATACTAAATAAAAAGACAACAAACAAGGTCCACATTAATGTGCTGAGGCAGTGTGATAAGGGTGACGGGGCAGGGAGTAACCCGATGGTACAGGAGATATCAGGTATGATTTGGTGAGGTGCAAAGAAGTAGGCTAAGGCAAGACAGTGCAAGTTTAAGTCAGTAGACCAGGATTAAATACTAAAAACTTGTCTAAACACTAAGTATTGGTAGCAGCAGAGAGATGGTTTGGCACTTAACAGCGATCTCTGATAGCTTTGTTTATGTGTCAGGACTTCCTGAATGTCACATGATAATGGCTCTTCTTCATGTGATCCATGGACTTTACTGAACACACTGCGCCCTCAGACTGTCAGTATGAATTGAAAACACAGTACATCACAGTATACATTGCTCATAATGATTAAATCGACGCATTTGGGTATAAATTCAATAAATATTATTCCTGTCTATAGAAATCTGATGTAAACCTATGAGAATCTATCAATATTTCTAGTTTGAGCTAAAAGCCCTGAGGGACGTTGTTTTGTCAAGCGCTGTCATGACGATCGCACGGGAGTTTTTTTCTGAATGAGAGCAGCTGACGCTCATAATTCACATTAAAGGTAACAACTCATTTACATAATTACATATCTCCTGACACAAATTAAGACATAACTGTCACTATAAGTTTCTCAGAATACAATAGTGGTCAAATACTGAAACTTGAGTCTTATATCTTTTTAATTATGTATAGTTTGTCAAGTTAATAACATTAAATTTGATAGTAACTTTAAACTATTTAAAAAAAACGCTTCAGAGCGCCCACGCACTGGTGAAGCTTAACAGGTTAACTTACCATTTATACGTGACGTGAACCTCATCGACTACGATCCCCACCAAGTTCTTCAGGTACACCTCTGAAGCAAGCATGCTCCGCCATTTCTCGTTGAGCCACGACTCGGGACTTCCAAATACCAGCTGGCAACGTCCGTCGAGGATGTCGTTTTCGTTTCTTCCTCCCAGCTGCATACCTGTAACACCCAATTTTCCAGCCTCTCTGATCTGATCCTCTATGAGGGCAATCAGCGGGGACACGATGATAACGATGGGGTGCTGCACTAGTCCCATTTCCTTAACTACCAGAGGAGCCATTTGGTAGATCAAGCTCTTGCCAAATCCGGTCGGGAGAAGGGCGAAAACATTGTTTCCACCAACAAAAGCCTTAAGAGCCGTTCTCTGATGTTCTTTTAATGAAACAATATTCGGTAGATTGGACAACACGGATGAAATAGCAGCATCAATGTTAACGCTTGCTTCCTCGATGCGAGCCGCCATTGTTGTCTGAATCAAAACAGTCTCACGGTCGCTTCTCCACTACGTCACATCTATGAAACTCCCGCCCTGCGTCCTGATTGGCTAAACCATAAAGTTGGTTGGAGAAATCACATTTCAATGGATCGGTTCCAGATGGATGTGAGTGAAGCTAGGCGGAGCGAAATTCATCTGGCTAGGGCCAGGTTATCCTTGCACAGGAACGGGAAGAAATCTCTCTATAATGACTTCGTAGGGGTCAAAGACAGACGTGGTGGCATAGGAGCTTCCGTAGTTGGTCACGCCCAAAGCGATTCCCATAGTGAAACACCTCACTCTGTTATCAAAGAACCCGGGATTACGTTAAGTAACCCATCGTTTTTGAGCGACTTCTTCCGCAGTTTTACCATGTGCATATAGCACAGTATCATCAGCATACATGATGATTTTACTCTTACACACAGTTGGTAGGTAATTTATGTAAAGGGTAAAAAGCAGGGGGCCCAGAATGGAACCTTAATGGTGATCTAAACCTTAAGATCTTAATGGTGATTTTTTGTTGTCAACCACAACGCATTGTTGTCTGTCATTAAGGTAAGATTGAATCCATGCTATTGTATTTGTGTCAAAAGAAAAAAAAATCAGATAGTTTGCTGATGAGAAGCTGATGGTTAACTGTATCAAAGGCCTTTCTCAAGTCCAGAAAGACCGCCCCTACCACACCTCCACCATCAAGACTGGATTTAATATCTTCTATCAAGTAGCAGCACGCAGACTCTGTGGAGTATCTTTTCCTGAACCCAAACTGGCAAGGATGTAATGCATCAGTGTGGTCGAGATGCTCTACTAGTTGTTCTGCCACCACCTTCTCAAAGATCTTACACTCAAAAAAATGATATGTTGGCATTAATTAACTTTTTTATGTAAACAGGTTCCACATAACTGGGTTACGTTAAACAAACATAATGTGTTCATGTAACTTAAACATAATGGAGTTAAGTAATTCTAAGCGACCTATTTAAACTCTGATCTGAGTGTTAAAGGAACACTCCGACTTTTTGGGACTTTAGCCTATTCACCTTATCCCCCAGAGTTAGATAAGTCCATACATACCTTTTTCATCTCCGTGCGTGCTATAAGTCTGTTTGACACACCCACCGCTAGCCTAGCTTAGCACAAAGACTGGATGTAAATGGTTGCAGCTAGCATACTAATCCAAATAAGTGACAAAATAGCGCAAACATTTTCCTATTTACATGTTGTGATTTGCATAGTCACAGAGTGTACAAAAAACTACGTCACATGAGATACAGACATATTTTAACACTTTAACAGTATAAATACTGGGAACTATATTTTCTGAAGGCGAAGCACTGCTACTTGGGCGGAGTAATAACCGCAGCACCTGAGACGCGCCGTGGTGAGGAGCAGAGAGTTCGTTCAGAGTTTGGGTACGGTACGTCTCAGGTGCTGCGGTTATCACTCCGCCCAAGTAGCAGTGCTTCGCCTTCAGAGAATATAGTTCCCAGTATTTATACTGTTAAAATATGTCTGTGTCTCATGTGACGTAGTTTTTTGTACACTCTGTGACTATACAAATCACAACATGTAAATAGGAAAATGTTTGCGTTATTTTGTCTCTTATTTGGATTAGTATGCTAGCTGCAACCATTTACATCCAGTCTTTGTGCTAAGCTAGGCTAGCGGTGGGTGCGTCAAACAGACTTATAGCACGCACGGAGATGAAAAAGGTATGTATGGACTTATCTAACTCTGGGGGATAAGGTGAATAGGCTAAAGTCCCAAAAAGTCGGAGTGTTCCTTTAAATGAACACTGAAGCGGTGTTAAAGTTAATGAGATAATTAAGTGAATAATTGAGTGATGATTGAGCATTATTGAAGACACCTGATGATAACAAGCAGAATCACTGAATGAGAAAACCAGAATTTAAAGTTACCATTATGGAGATCAGTGTGTGTTTTAGTTGGGCTCTTGACCCTCACGTCATTATCTTAAGATTTTTGTTTGGTTGCTGTACATGCGTTATAACAGTCAGATGAACAAATTAAAAACGTGATCTCATGCTGTTGGTTGTGTTTTAACATAATCATTATTTCACAATCATTTTACCTGAACTCATATAGAACCCAATTTCTGAGTTAAGTTTACCTTATTGATTATAGCAGCACTGCCATTATAGAGCATACCATTTTTAACCTTTTCAATGAAATCCAAATGATCAAATCTATACAAAAAAAAAAACCGTTGTATGCAAGCGCACACACAGACATCAATATTTAGCGTATCAATCTCAGCAATGGTGACAAACAGATCACCTCTAACCATAAGCTCATTATTTATTCATGCAGAAATGCATGATGGGAGCCATGAATGAGTTTTGATTGGTGGCACCCAGAATGCACTGCAACATGCTTTATAATTGTCACCATTGTTGAGATTCACAGGCTGATTATTGATGTCTGTGTGTGCCTTCATAAAATTTTCTTATTTTTTAGAAGTTTTTTTTAGTTTCTTTTTTATTGATTCTATCATTTGGATTCCATTTAAAAGGCTAAAAATGGTATGCTCTACAATGGCAGTGCTGCTATAATCCATAAGGTAAACTTAACTCAGAAATTGGGTTCTATACGAGTTCAGTGATTCAGGTCAAATTATAGTGATATAATGATTATGTTAAAACACAACCAACACCATCAGATCAACTTTTCTAATTGATCATCTGGTTGTTATAACTCATGCACCGCAGTCAGACAAAATATAAAGTTAATAAAGTGAGGGTCAAGAGCCCAACTAAAACAAACACTCATCTCCATAATGGTTGACTGAAATTCCGGTTTTCTCATTCAGTGATTCTGCTTGTTAACATCAGGTGTTCATGATTAATGCTCAATCATCACTCAATTATTCACTTAATTATCTGCTTCAGTGTTCAGTGTTTGTTTAACGTAACCCAGTTATGTGCATCCTGTTGACATAAAAAAGTTAATTAAAGCCAACATATCAGAACCTGTTGTCATAAAAAAGTTAATTAAAGCCACCATATCAGACCCTGATGACATAAAAAGTTAATTACAGCCAACATATCATTTATTTGAGTGTGTTGAAGTTACATGACCAAATTATGTTTGTTTAACGTAACCCAGTTATGTGCATCCTGTTGACATAACAAAGTTAATTTATGGAACCTGTTGACATAAAAAGTTAATTAAAGCCAACATATCATTTTTTTGAGTGTAGAGATGGCTGGCAGAATGCTAATAGGTCGATATCACATTCATGTGAAAAAATGGACTAAAGCAAAGCCAAGCTTTGAACACTTTATAAAAGAGATTAAACAATATGGTAATACATTAGATAAAATTAAAGGTTCTCTAAGCGATCCTGGGTGACGTCACTTCTTGTTGACGTTCGAACTATGTCAAACAAAACGGAGGCTAGCTAGACCCTCCCTCTTCCTCATCCGCACACTAACCCCCCAAACCCTTCTTGTCGGTCATTGGCTGGAACAGTTTGTTATGTTTCGGGGAGCGGGTCGCCGCAGTTTGTTTTTGTTGCTGTTTGTGGAGCCTGGGCTGTCTACAGAGATCGCGTTTCTTTACAGTGTGTTCAGGGGACAGGCAGCCAGCGGATAGTGAGGAGATGTTTGCTGTATGTGACAAAAAATGTTTTGGCCTAAAAAACGCGTGACATCGCTTAGAGCACCTTTAAGAACAAGAAAGCAAGAAAGATCTATGAAGCTTTTTGTTACCTTAATTATTGTAATTTTACCCCTGGCATGATCTTTTTTTCTTTTTCTTTTTTGATTGTTATTTTGTACTTGTTGTGAGATGTATTTTCATATACAATTGACTTTATGCACAGCTGCACTACTTCCTGAAGTGTCTGATTATTGTTGCTATGACTACTGAGGTCAGGCACACCTGAATTAATCAGTGTGTCCAATAATGTAAGACAGGAAATAATAGAAAAGTACTCTTCACATTATAGGGAAGCATCCACACTGTAAAACATTAAATGATCAATAAGTTATTACAAAATATGTTTTTACATTACTTTAACTCGTCAAAATAAGTTTTCAACTTAAATTTTTTTTTAAGTGAGTTTCATTTAAGGAGAAATGACTTAATCAAGCTGATTGAACTTAAAAATGTAAGGTAGCAACTTTTGTTACAGTGCAGCTGGCTTTTGTGATTATTATGAAATATCAGAAACAATAGAACATGTGCTTGTTATGTTATGTTGTTTGTTGCAGGAATTATGAAAAGGAGAGAAATGACATGATGGAAGAAATGGAAAAAAATTAGGAATAACATGATGTGTAATAAAGAAAATATGGAATTCTGGAGAAGTGGAAGATATCTGAACTGCTCCCTAAAAGAAATGTGACCATTCTTGTTTTTCCTGTTTGTTTGTTTTTTGTTTTTTTATTGAATATTGCAGTGTGCATTCTAAATGATTTCTGTGCACATCGTTAATATTTTAAATTCATATGCCTCATAATCTTGAATCAGAATAACTTCCTCTTGCAGCATCTCTTCTCTTCTTTGATGACGAGGGCGGGGCAACCTGTCAATCACACGAGATCCACCAATAGCAAACCACAACCACCCAATCAATTCCCCACAGACACAATCTCATGTGAGGGACCCTCATCCTAAAATTTAAAGGATGGAAAAAGACTCAATTTATACCGAGATAAATATGTGTAAATTATTATTTGTAAAATAAATTTTAAAAAGTTTATATAGTTCTGTACTGTTTATTATTTATGTTTATTTTAATCTATTTTTGATAATTTATTTCAATGCATTTTATTCATATATTAATATCGATTTTTTTTTTATCTAATATTTGTTATTTATGTATTTTATACATTTAGTTATACCAAATTCGTATTTGAAATCATTTTTTATTTATCTTAATCTTATTAGTTTTTTTATTTTTATTTATTTGAAAACTTTTCCCTGGACCCCTCAGTGCTGTCTCTATGTGTAAAACACATGGTTCCTCAGAGATGAGACATGGACGCTTCAGACTCCTGTCCACTAGCCGGCGCAAATGCACACCATAACACCGCAATATTATGCGAAGAAGAGATATGGCGATCTCCTGTGAGCGCGTCGTAGAGGACCTTATTGGGACTTTTCGAGAGTCTTTAAAAGCTCACGGTTTTGAAATTTATCCCTTTAAGGTAAAATGTCCGCCTCCACGAACATAATAAAATCAAACAATCTCGATAATGAAAGTATTTGGCGTCTGTATGTTATAGTGGTGCATGTATTACAATATCAAGTCTATCCATGTGAAACTAGTTCTGCTCATCTTTTCATAAGCAGTCAAACCCACCTGTGCACTTGCGCAGAAGTGGGGAATAAACATGTTTAGACGTCACTTATGGATACAGCTCTGAATGTGACTACTAAAAGTGTTGAGCTGAGCTTCCAGTCTGTATGTTTGTTACTCATAATATTTGTGTTTTATGGCAGGTTGGCTGGTACAATGCAGTGCTCTCTCCTGGCCATCACCTCCCTTACCCAGCAGACACTCTGGCTGTGGTGGTCCTCAGCACTCCGGCCATGTTTGAGCGCTCGTTCCTGCCCTTCTTACAGAGCCAGCGCTGCGAGGGCCTCAGGGACCCCATAGACCAGTGCAGCGCGCACACCGTCTCAGCCTGTGTCTCACTGGTATGATTCAGTACAGGACAACAAAGATGATCTACACTGCCTCTGCTTTTTCTTCTGGTTCACAATCACATCATAACTTGACTCCTTTTGTGGTTAGATTTGCTTTTCTGTTTTTATCTAGAGCAGAGTTTTCTAACTGGGGTCCGGGTCCCACAGGGTAGAATAGCTTAGATAAAAACAGTGTAAAAAAATGAATAAAATAATAAGATTCAACTAAATTAAATTATTAAATTTGATTCAAATGAAAAATAAATAAAACCAAATAAATGAACTTGTAAATCAGGTAGCGCTCTGAATCAGCATGCACCAATGCTACAATTTTCTGTCATAATCATTTTATAATTTGTTAACAAACAAATATTCATTACCTCTATGAGCTCATTGTTTCTGCCTTAAATTATTACATTGTTTAAATTAATAAATGTTTAGCTAACTGTGATTTGTATATGTACATTTCTGAAATACATAACTTAGACAGTTTCCTCTGATAACAGATCACTCTAAATTGTAATGTGGACTCGTGCATTTTCTGTAAAGCTTCTTTGAAACTATGTGTATTGTGAAAAGCGCTATACAAATAAATGTGAATTGAATTGAACTTTACAATAAAGTTCATTTGTTAACATTAGTTAATGTATTAACTAACAATGAACAATTACATGTTACTGTATTTATTAATATTGGTTAATGTTATTTAATACAAATACAGTCGTTCATTGTTAGTTCAGAGTGCATTAACTAATATTAACAAATATAACTTGATTTTAATGTATTAACAAACTGCATTGCAATTTACATTAACTAAGATTAATAAATGCTGTAGAAGTATTGTTAATTCTTAGTTCATGTACATTATAAAGTGTTATAAGTGTTAAATAAATTAGTTGATACATTAGATTAATAGAAATTGATTAAAATAAATCAAATTGATTTGAATAAATAATAAATTAATGCATTTGATTAAAATAAATAAATTTTGATTTAAATAAAATAAATATAATAAACCTGATAAATAAATAACAAGAAGGAGAGCTGAGTGATTAAAATAAGTAACTAAATAAATAAATACATTGATTCAAATAAATAAGATTACACAATAAGTAAATGGATTTTGATTTTAATAAAGAATTAATATATTTGATTACAAAACATTTAACTACTACAATTAGTAGAAAAATGCAGTAATGTAATAGAAAATAAATATTTTTCACATTTATAATTAAAATTTTCCACAGTATTAATTGGGTCTTTATACATGAATATATATATACATTTTAGGGTGGGGGTCCCTCACGTGAGGATGATCATATTTTGGGGTCTGTAGCATCTAAAAGTTCCTGTTTCCATTATCCGACCATATGTTTATCTCTCTCTCTCTCTCTGTTTTCTCTCAGTGTTTTCCCGATCAGTCTGTGGATGTCAGTTATGATTATGAGATGCTGCCCAGCAGAAGACCCAAGTTCCTCGCACAGACCGCCGCACACATATCAGGAGCAGCGTATTACTACCAGAAATCAGACATCCACAGTCCACCGTGGGCTGATCAGGTAAGCCAGACACTTTCATCATGTTTATCATGCTTTATGATATCAGTCGATCGAAATATTTCACTTTGATTCATCAGAAAACAAAATTATTAGGGCTGTGACAGGCGTATGAAAAAAACAACATATTACAACTCTAAGTTTCATGCAATTTAAAGCATGCTAAGAGTCTCAAAAGCATCCAAAAAGAATATTAAAGTTTGACGCATTCCCATGCCAACAGTATTCACGAAGATATCAAGAATCCTTTCACAGGTGTACATCTGCGGTGTCTTGACAAAGACTGAAGCAAATCGGGTAAAAATAAGAGGGCGATTTCAAAGCATTTTGAAAGTAACAGATTTCCTGCTGCCAGTTGGTGGCGCTATAACTTTGACTCACAATAGTCACATTCATGTGATCGACCTCTTACAGCAGACACACAGCTGAAGTTTCATCATAATCAATTTTTTGTCCTAAATTTGTTTCAACGCCACTGCCAATCCGTTTGAGATATCAAAAATCCGCTCGCAATTTAGCAATAGGGATGGGCATTTTTCAAAAATATTGCATTCGAATATTCGGGCTCATAAAAATTGAATATTCGTTTATTTAAATGGCGTTTAATGAAAAAGACGTTATTTTTTAAGTAAACATTTTTTTTCACGTTTTTGTCACCATTTCTGAACAAGCTTACAATTAGGCAATATACAAACAAGCTTACAATATATGTTAAAGTTTTCTTTTAGTTGAAAACATTAAATAGTAGGCCTATGTGTAAACAAAAAATATAAAAAACAAAAGCATTAATAAAAGCATGTAATAAAAGCATGCTTAGCAGCGCGAACGCCTAATAAAGCAGATTGCGCCAGATATCGTACAGAACGTACACACACGTTCACGCACATTATCGTGTTTATATTGTTTCACGTTTTTATTGAGAAAAACAATAATATCCACATGCAGGGGCGCCGCCAGCAATTTATGCTCGAGGGAGAAAAGGCGCTTCGCTGACAGACGCTTCAGAGACACAAAGATAACGGTGTTCTAAGTTTCTAACAGCACTTTGCGTTTTCTGTTCTTAAACCGGTCTCCCTCAACGAAACCTAAAGGAAGTATATGTCTCAAAATCATTTTGCTATAAGATAAGTTATCATCGCGGATCACGCGGGGTCCAGCTGCGCTTACCTGCAGTCGTGAATGCAGTGTTGGACAGCTGCCTTTCCTCATTCGACTGTTTGGATTTCATGTGATTTTTTCATTGTGTTGATGATATTATAACTCAGATTAATTAATTAATTGGATCAAAAGTAATTCCATGTAGTAAGATCATTTTCAAGTAATTCCAAACTTCGGGAGGCAGACGACAACATTATGTGATCAAATACACACAACTTGTTAACACACTCCACAGCGCCACCCAGTGCATTTAATTATAACTGCGAGTCAGTGGTTGGGATTTATCATGGATTCACTGCATTTACGGCCAGCATAGCAATGTAGTAAAATTCGAATAGTATTTTATTTTTCGAATAATAATTACAGATCGAATATTCGAAAATTCGAATATTCGTGCACATCCCTAGTTTGAGATATCAAAAATCCGCTCGCATTTTAGCATCCTTAGTGTCTTCATGTTGACTGAGTTCTGTTGTGATCGGATGAATGCCCCGTATATCACATTCCAGATAATTTTCCAAAAACCAATAATAGCCAACTTCCTGTTGGGCTGGCGTATGACTTATGCGTACGAGTGCGAAAGTTGTCCGGCTTGATGAGATCTATAAGTGTATGAAGTAGGGCTGGGTACCGAGTTCGGTACTTTTTAGGTACCGACCGAATTGCCTCGATACTACCGAGTATCGAAACATGTCTTGTTTTTCGGTACCAAATTTCGGTACCTAAGTGGTTAATCTCGTCAACGTCAGTGAAACAATAAGCATTCAGTATGATTGGCTGTGGCGGAAAAACACTAGTTTACGCGGCTGCCCAGAGACGCGGCTCGTCGCACTTGAGGCTGTAGTGTGTGTGTGTGTGTGTGTGTGTGTTAGAAGCGCACAGAATACACTTGAGAGTAATGGTGTGTTCACACCGAACGCGAATAGAGCGTCAAATACGCGTATATCGCGTCTAGTCAGACGCTTAAATCTTCCGCTCGAGTTCAAATTTTTCAACTTGCGCAGAAGACGTTCGCGGCAAACGCATAATTCGCGACGCCCGCGAATGATGCGTCTATTCACGTCTTTGCATTGACTTTGTATGTAATCTACTCGCACAAATAATTAAATTCGCTTTCGGTGTGAACAAGCCATTAGTAAACACTTGTTCATTAATAAATAATTAAAATATCTCCTTGCTATTGTTTCCACATCCATAATTATTAGGCTACTTTTGCCAGTGCTTTGCGGCAAGCTTCACGTGCTGAGCGCGAGGCAAATATCCCGCCCCCCAGTAGCCTATATTTAATTTAATTCACATTTATTTGTATAGCATTTTTCACAATAGATATCGTTTCAAAGCAGCTTTACAGAAAATGCATGTGTCTAAATTACAATTTAGAGTGATCTGTTATCAGAGGTGACAGTGTAATGCATTTCAATTAATTTTCATTCAGTTTCATTGTTAAACAATGCATTAAGGCAGAAACAATGAGCTCATTGAAGTAAAGAGTATGTTGTTAAATGATTAGGAAACATAGAAAACTTAAGCATTGGTGCTTTTTTACAAACTCAAAATATGAGTGTAAAAAAGTAAACAAACTGAAAAAGAAAATAAATTAGGTAATGTTATATTGTTAAAACTGGTTACATAAAATTGGTATCGAAAAAAGTATCGTTCAGGAACCGGTATCGAAGTCAAGGTATCGGTATCGGTATCGAACATTTTGTTACGATACCCAGCCCTAGTATGAAGTTGAAAAGGGGTTACAGAGCCCCTCAAATACAACCTTATAAAACGGTCCTATGTGCGAGCAAAGTTTCAAGAGTTTTTTAACATGTTAAGGGACGCAAAAGTGCCTGAAACAGGGGTGGAGTGGGACCAAAAAATCTACCGGGAAATTTCGTAGACCATAGGGGGGGGGTATTTTCTTGGTAATTTAAAAAAAAAATAGATTAAGAAAGCCACCGGTACTGGTCATATCTATGGTTAGATTGATTTGTTTAGATCCAGTGAAGTCGTGTCATAGGAGTAATTTGCGGGTGGGACGGATGGGACATGTCCTCACCACTTTTTGAAACATTGAGGCACGGATGTACCTAATACAAATAAATAAAACATCTCCAGTTAAGTAGCAGAGCATTCATTTAGTTCGCTATTAAATAAGAGATCTAGCGCAAAAGATCTTCCACTAGACCATTGCTTCTCAATTATGTTCTGTTACGCCCCCCCCTAGGAAGAAGTAAACATATCGCGCCCCCCAACTCTCCGCCGCGACTGTAAATAGTATCATTTGTCTATAAAATTGTTATAAGTACACTTCTGCATAACATTGTATCCTTATTAACATTAAAGAAAACAAAAAAAGAAAGAAATGTAGATCAACTTACAACAAAGAATAACTTTATTAACATTGTTTTTTAGTCTGTAACAGAAAGGACTTAAAGTGCATCAATTTGCCTGAAAAAAAAAAATCAATCCTTATTTAAACTGTAAACATTTTTTGACCATTTGATACTGAAAAATAAAATGAAATATAATCAATAATAATAAATTCAAATTGATCAGCAACATTAACTATATATAACAATATATAAAACACTTTGACCTATAAAACAAAAATGATGGAAATGAGGAAGTCAGGATTAACACTGACTTATACAATGAGCACGTTTTGCAGTGCACAGCTTTTCGAAGCGGGGTTTGAAGCATGATACTGCAACTCTCAGCTCCTGCTCGATGTTTAGCTGGACCTGTACCCGGTCTTCAGTGCAGCAACAGCAGAGAAGCCAGTCTCACAAAGATAAGGTGTTGCAAAAGGAAGAACAATTGGATACCGCCTCTCTACACTCAGCCAGAATTCACTCAGTGTCTGTGATGTGGACCTCAGTCTCAATGTGGAGTCAGACGTCATATCAATGAACTGGTCCTCCTCTGCAGAGCTGAAACCAGTTGGAGCAGGTGCATTGAAAGGATCTCTCACCCAGTCATATTGGGAACTGTTTTCAGGGAAGTACTTTTGAAAGAATCCCATCAGTGATGAAATATGCTCCTTAATATATGGAATTACTGAGGTGGCTTCATAGTCAGGTTCTCGAATGAATCAGTATTTCCTTCATCAATTCGCCTGCCCCGTATTGCAAGCTTTCGAGTGAAGGGCTGATCTTGTCTGTGACCTGAGGGAGGTGTTTATCTTTCCCTTGAAGCTGTAGATTTTGTTCATTTATCTTTCCAAATATGTCACTCAGGGAGGCCAGTTTTTCCAGGAAGTTCTCATCACTAAATTTGTGTGCTCCTGCTCTAAAAACATTCTTATCTGCTCTCTTGATGCCAGTGCTTCTCTGTGTATAACACAGTGTGTCCACTCAGCATTAGGTGAGACCTTCTTGATGAGTGCCCGAAGTCCTCTTCTCATCACCATCACTGCAACACCAATGCAGTTCTCCCACTTCAGCCCATTCTCAATCAGGAAGCAGTCCAGCATTTTGAATAGCTCTTCAGCTGTGGTTCTGTCTCTGACCTATTTACAAAAAAGGAGATCCTCTCACAGGGAGTTTGTCATGTCAAAACGCACATAAGCGATAAACAAACAGTCTTTGTTGCTGTCAGTTGCTTCATCGAACTGTAAGGCAAAACGTTTCTCTACCAGCTGTTCTTTAAGATCGTTAGCAATGTCATTTACGTCTAGCGACAGTGTCATTGGACAGAGGGATAGTTTTATTTTTGCAGCACTTGCGTCATCCAGCATGACAGAGACCATGTCTAATGCTGCAGGCAGGATCAGCTCCTCTACTGTGGACTGGGGTTTTTTGCACTGAGCAATTTGGTACGCCACCTTATATGATGCTAACTAGGGATGGGAATCGAAAACCGGTTCCACTCGAGAACCGGTTCTAAAATTTACGATCCATCGATATTGTATGCCCTCGACGTTAACGAGTCCTCTTATCGATGCTCCTGCTCTGTCCCTTTTGTCCTTTATCAAGCACCATAGCACCGCGTCCAAAGCTAATCTTTGTCCTGCAAAGTCTTATTTGATCAGTGAGTAAAATTGTCTCTCTCTGGTAATGTAGATGAACCGCTGCGCTTGTGACAGGGCGCATGTTAAACTGATCGAGCAGAGAGAGAGAGAGAGAGAGAGAGAGCGAGAGAGCCCCGGTCGCGCGCACGCACTCTCTCTCTTCGGAGCAAGGCGAAAGTAGGCTTCACCGTCTCAAAACTAAGCGCTGTCTTCCTCTCTCCCTCGCACATATTAATCAAAATAAACGACACGATGGTAAGGTAGGGAGACTAAAGTTTTTTGTGGAGCATTCGGAGATTTGTTTTTCCTGAATTGCCGCTGGGTGTGAATTGTGCCAAAATACGTTGCCTTATCTTCTCTGAAAAGTGTTCCGCACATTCAGCTGACATAATCACACTTCAAATAAACGAAAAAAACGATCCAGTGATGAAATGTTTTCTGTGATGACACACATCTTGTGGGATGTCCCAACTGCCGGGATAATCACACAACGAGCACACGTCCGATAATGACACGTCCAATTCGCGAACTAATTACTCATTTGAACCGATTCGTTTTAATGAATGGTTAAAACAAATGATCTTTCCAACACTGAACTCACGGGGCGTTTAATCGGTGTATAACTAATCGGTAACACTTTACAATAAGGTTCCATTTATTACATAAAAAGTACAGTTTGCTTAGTCAAGTGTAAGCTTTAAAACAAATAAAACAACTTGTTTTTTCCCCCGAAAAAGACTACTTTTTCCCTCACAGTGCTATCAGGAATCGATAAGAGAATCGTTAAAGAATTGGATCGATAAGCAGAATCGTTAGTGGCATTGATATTGATAAAATCTTATCAATTCCCATCCCTAATGCTAACAGTGTTCGCTGGTTTACTGAAGTAGCATTCACAAAGCGGGACGATTGTTGGGAATATTCGACACGTTTTCGCTGATAAAACTCAAGCGGCTTATCAGCGTGATTGGGGTGTAATGTCTTTAAGTGACGCCTTAATTTATTTGGCTTCATGCTGTCCGCTGTCAACATTTTTAGACACAGTAAACATACCGGTCTTTCCTCGTCTCCCACCGTAGTCACAGTGAAGCCAAGCGCTACATACGCTTCGTCATATTTCCCCGTCTTAGCTTTCGGGAGACTGACGTTTGTCTCATTATCTCTGCCTCTCTCCGCCTTTCTTTTCATCCCTGTTAAATATTTTTCCATGGTGTCTCTTAAGGGTTTGTCATCTGCACTTCATATCTCCTGCTCTGTGCTGTGTGCTCTTGTTCGGTGAAAAAAAACCCTACTTCCTGCGGCAAAAAAAAAGCATGTTCCCCGGGGTCACACGCGCCCCCCCCCCTGGCATCGCTCCGAGCCCCCTCAGGGGGGCGCACCCCACTGTTTGAGAAGCACTGCACTCCGTTGAAGAACTCGAACAAAATCTGCAGATCGATGCATTTATTTACGGGTTGAGCAGAGAGGCTGCACAGAAAAGTCCCGACTCTCCCGATTGCCACTCCGCCTCTGGCCTGAAAGGTCAAAAATAAAAATGTACCTAAGGAAACCAATAGGGCCTTCACCATTTAAGGGCTTGGGCCCTAATTAGATCAGTTGATAACTGTGATAAAAATATTCAAACACGCTAACTAGAAGTGTGTACTGAGAATCTCCATGTCTTCCTGAATCTATCTAGAATCTGTATCACAGTTTGTGTATGTCATTGTGTTGCACATAGTCTATATGTGACTATAGTCACCCCCTAACCCTAACAAGTATCATGCAAGCCGTCTCGTCTATGCTAATGTGGAATGGAAAGATATTGTCTGCTGTTCCTGAAAGTCTTTCTCCTTATTCTACACAGAAGATGTTTGGAGTCTGTATACACCCCAGGCTGGGCGGCTGGTTTGCTATACGAGCCCTGCTGGTCTTCCAGGATGTGCGGGTGGGAGCGGATCTCCAGCAGAAAGATCCTCCAGACTGTGTGCGCTCACAGGAGGACCGGATCGACCTGCTGGAGAGGTTTAACTTCCGCTGGCAGGACGGGAGCTACAGAGACATTGTGCCCACAGAGGAGAGGTACTCAGACCAGCAGAGAGAGTATTTCACCACTCCTCCAGGCCAGCGGGGGGAGCTGCTCAGACGGTGGGGCTTTCTGACGGAGACGGACACTGACAAGCAGAGCTCCACAAACAAACAGGGCTGATTACACACTCTCATAGCTGTTTTCCCAAAGATGTGCTCTGCTGTGTGGAAGACACATATCAAATAAAAAAGGCAATTGAGGCTTTTTTTCTTGCAGTTTCAAGCTTATATCTCACAATTCGGCCTAGTTTGTATTTGCAAAAAAAAACTTGCATATGGTTATTTTGAATTGCATTCAATGTATTAAGATACTGTGAACATGAACATTCTACAGGTGTCTCACTGTAATCGCTATTCCACTACAGAGAAAATGTATGTACATTTATAAATACTCATTTGTTTTTGTTTTATTTAATAAAACAAAGAGAATTAGGGTTGAGGATTCTGTCATGGGAAAGTACACCCGCCAGCTTTTAAGAGGCCTTTTTTAATATTTTAATAATTTTATAAATTACAGCTAGAGGGCACTCCACCCCAGACTATTGCCACTCAGTATTGGACTTCATTTCCCATCATCCTCTGTCCGCTTTCATCATCACTGATTGTCCACAGCTGTTTCTCATTAGTCCATCAGCTCTTTCTATAAAAGCCTGGTTCACTCTCTCTCTGTCTGTTAAACTGCAATGCTGAGCCAATGTTTCTTGTGTTTCCCCTGTCTTGGTTTTTTTGTTTGTTTCCATTGTAACTGAACAGTTGCAATTTGTATCTTGTAATTATAGAAAGCTTTAAAATAATATATAGGTAAAATAATTTAAAAGCAATACTTCACGACCCTTATTAAATATTTTGCAGTTTAACTTAATAATGTGTCCTTACTATTTTTATGTCTCGTTTTGTAAAAGCAATGAGTAAACCAACGCCATGCTGTATTGCAGAGATGGGAAATCAATTAAAGTATATATATATATATATATATATATATATATTGTATAAAGTGTTTTCATGGCAGGTTTACTGATTATCAAACATGACTGAATGTATAGGTGCATATTTCCATTATGCGAAACTGTTTTTACCATTAGCAAGTCTCTTGAACTTCACCGAACAAATGTTTACTCAAATATTATTCAAATCAGCAACAGATATGGAGCAAACAATCATCTAAATCAGACTGTATTTTGCTGTTTAGTGATTGTGCAACTGCAACATCAAACCACATGTACAGTATCAAACTTATGCAGAAGTGTTATGAACTGTTCTGAGACGCAAAGGCAGAGAATCCAAATGCAGTAGTTTATTAAAGAGTAATACAGGCAAAAGGTCAAAACACAGGCAAACAATCCAACCCGATACCAGGGCAAGAACTCAGGCAAACAGGGTTAATCTAAGAGATAGCCGAACAGGAGAAAACTGGAAAACAGACAACAACAACCTTTATTTATAAAGCACATTTAACACAATACAAATTGATCCAAAGTGCTGTACATAGTGCATAGCAGGACTACACTATAAAAAACAACAATTACAAGTTTCCAAAAGCTAAAGAATAAAAATGTGTTTTAAGAGTAGATTTAAAAATGTCCAATGAAGGATCAGACCTCACATGGTACAGGAGACCAGTCCAAAGCTTGGCCAGCCACAGAAAAGGCCCGGTCACCCTTTGATTTGTAGCGACATCGTGACACATTTAAAAGCAAGTGATTTGAAGATCTAAGTGCCCTAGCAGGACAGTGTGGCACAATAAGATCACAAATATACCTTGGTGCACGGCCACAACGCCTTATAAACAAACATAAGCATCTTAAAATCAACTCTAAACTTAATGGGAAGCCAGTGAAGCGATGCCAAAACAGGAGAAATATGATCCCTCTTTCTAGACCCAGTCAAAAGTCTTGCAGCTGCATTTTGAACAATTTGTAATCGAGATAGTGAAGATTGAGGAAGACCAGAATAAAGAGAGTTGCAATAGTCTAATCGTGATGTTACAAATGCATGAATTGCAACTTCTAAATCTTTGCTTGAAAGAAGGTTCTTCAACTTTCCAATATATCTTAAATGGAAAAAGCTTCCTCTAATAATAGCACTAATTTGTTTATCAAAAAATAGTGAAGAGTCAAAGATCACTCCAAGGTTTTTGATTTGTTTGCATACGTTTGTTGAGAGAGGACCTAACTGGGCTTGCAGAGCAGGAGAGGAATCTGCCGGACAACCCAGAATTAAAACCTCTGTTGTATCCTCATTTAGCTGCAGAAAATTACTTGATATCATCTACACATTCCAATAACACATCAAATGAAGCAGTGGTGTCAAGCCTTACTGGAAGGTAAAGCTGAGAATCATCTGCAAAACAGTGATATGAAATGTTGTACTTCTGAAAAATGAGGGCCAAGGGGAGCATATAAAGGGAAACCAATAAAGGTCCCAAAATGGATCCCTGGGGCACACCAAACAAAACAGGCGCAGATGACGGGGAACAATCTCCTAAATTTACAGAAAAAGTCCTCTTTTCGAGGTAGGAAGCAAACCATTGTAATACAGTGCCCTTGACACCTACACTCTTAGAACAGATGTGTTAAAAACAACACATAATGTGTTAAATTTTAACACATGTACTGAATCAGCTCAGGGACAACACATATTGTGTCAAATTTGACACAACTTATGTGTCCCTTTCTTTAACACATCTATTGTGTCAACTAGGTCAACACAAATATGTGTTATTTTTACACAAATATGTGTTTACTTGTGTTTTGCTGGATTAATGTGGAATTAAAAATGTATGATTAAAACATTTTGTGTAGACAATTTACACATGTGCAATCAAGAAATAAGTAAATTTATTACAGATTAGATTTGTTTCACATAAAAAAACGTGATTAAATCCGTTTCAGTTATCCGTAATACACTCTAAAAAGAGATGTGTTAAAAATGACACATGTTGTAACTCATAAATAACTTGTGTTAATACTTGCCTGTTTGTTTGAGAACACAGCAAACACTGCATACCATTCACAGTGATGCTGAGTGTTGGCGCACTCTTATAAAATGATGAGTTGAAAACAACACAACCTGTAAAAGAGATGTGTTAAAAATGACACATGTTGTGTAGATTTTAACACATGTGGTGTGTGTGCTCAGGGACAACACATGTTGTGTAGATTTTAACACATAGTGTGTGTGCTCAGGGACAACATATGTTGTGTCAAATTTAACACACAACCTGTGTTGATTCTTAACACACCTCTGTGTTTATAAGGACTACACATTTTGTATTAACTTTAACAGAACTAATGTGTTATTCCTCTTACACAGAAGTGTGTTGAAACCTTTTACACACTAATGTGTTATAGTTACACAACTTGTGTCAGATATTACATGTGACTGTAGTCGGTGTGTATTTGCCAGAGTTACTTCCTGTGTTTTTACAACTGAGTTTTTGGATGAACACTGAAACGTATTGTTAACTTGTGTTTATGTAGTCCAGTGACGTTTAATAAAGAGTTTGTTTGAACATTTGGATGGTTTAGACATCATGAATCTACATAGACAAGCTCTTATTGAGAATTAACTGAGGTTTAGATGTTGATGATTGACTGAATGTTTTATTTGAAGTCACCAGAATTGTGATTAATGGCTCCTTTATTTGAGCTCTTGACCCTTTACTCTTCTTTTAGTTTGTCTCTGGCTGCTTTAATTGTATTTTAATGAAATACATTTGTTATGGAGAGAGATAAGTTGATCAAATGTTTCTTGATGATGTCATAATCAGCAAGAGCTGATCTGATCAAGTTTATGAGTATATGGATGGTGTGTATTTAATTTATTTATGTGCTGTTAATTATAATGATCTTGTGACACTACACCATGCTATCCAGCAGTGCAGAATAAAAAAGATGTGTCCTGAAATGTTTAATCTACAGCAGAAACTAGTCAAACACAGACCTCAAGAATCAGCGTATGAATCTCAACAATGGTGATAAACGAAATACTTAATGCCGCAATGCATGATGGGAGTCATGGATGAGATTTGTACTATGGTGGCACCCAGCATGCATTGCGGTATGAAGCTTTTCATTTGTCACCATTGTTGAGATTCATACGCTGATTTTTGAAGTCTTTTGATACCTTATACTGTAAGACTCTGTACCAACTATGTTTTTAAAAATTAAGTTATTTGCAATAAGCTCACCTTTGTTAAAAATCATATTTTATATAGTACACTTATTTTTCAAATAATAAACTCTTGCTGAGCTCAGCAATCTTACATGTCCATGATGATAACGTTATCATCTGAGCATATTTTACCCATGATTTTCTCTGCTGTTTCGAATGTGTGAAATAAAAACACATTTACAGCAATCAGAGAAAACTAATATTAAAGAGTCAAGGGCCAAGAGCCCAGATAAAGCTGACACTAATCACGATTCTGGTGACTTTAAATGAAACATTAAATGAATCGTCAACACAAAACCTGTTAATTCTCAATAAGAGCTTCTGTAGAGTCTGACAGAAATAAAGTTAATCTGGTTATTAATAACAAGTGAAAGCAGCATTTGAAAAAGACATTGAAAAGAGGCATGATGTGATTGGCTGCTAAAAAACACCCATTAATCTTTAAGTTTTCATGAATTAAGATTACATTTATTTATTTGAATGTATTGCTTTATTTATTTTAGAGCATTTTATGGGATACCATATAAAATATACCTATAATTTTTCATAAACACAAACTCTCCTCCACCCAGTGCTATTCTATCCAGAGTTACATTTTAACACACATTGTGTGCTAAAATCTACACAACATGTGTCAAAATGCTATCTACACATCACATATGTTGTTTTTTGACACATCTCTTTTTAGAGTGTACCATATATTCTAGCCGTTCAAGAAGAATGTTGTGGTCGATGGTATCAAATGCAGCACTCAGGTCTGGCAAAACTAGCACAACACAAGAGCCTGAATCCAGAGCAAGCAAGATATCATTTGTAACCCTCAACAGAGCTGACTCAGTGCTATGTAATGATCTAAAGCCAGATTGGAACATGTCCAAAATATTAAAAGAATTAAAATAAAACTTGAGCTGTGAGAAAACTACTTTCTCTAAAACCTTAGAGATAAAAGGCAGTTTAGAGATCGGTCGATAGTTACTGCACATTTCTGGATCAAGTTGAGGTTCTCAACATGGGTTGCACAATTGCATGTTTAAAACTAGCTG